TTGTAACATGTTTTTTCCCTTGGCAGATTTTTAAAAATTATTTGGTGAAAGGAATGCGAAGTTCAGTAATACATAATGATATGGAATTAGTGTATTTCCTCTATAACGTTCTACGAGCTAAATTCACTTATACACTGTTATACGCTTAAGTTTACAAATAATGTTTCAACAGCAAAACTTCACTAATGGCAGTACAAGTAATGTATGAATAAACTTACATGTACAATTCCACAAGTAATTGATTGAGTAACTGAATATACACGATAATTAACACTGATAAGCTTTCTTATACTCAACTAAATACTTATCAAAGACCTAATCACTTCTAAATAAATACTTCACTCTGACAATAGCATTAACTTACTTTTTATTCCTATATACTATATTCTTGATGTCATGCTCCTAATAGCAAACTTCTAAATTACAATATTGAAAATGTAGCTTACAACAAAATGGACAGATTAAACTATGATGTGATTAACTTTAAAGAGATTCTTAGTGTTGTTAGTCCGAAGTGTAGAAAAGGTTGTTTTCAAGAAATCAACCAAAAATTAGCTTTTTCGACTTCAGTAAGATTGTTAATAAAAAATAGTAAAGGAAAATTACTGGAGTTTTTATTTACAGCTGTTTAAAATTGTAGAATGTAGAATACACATGAAACTCCAGTAGTAATTAGTGGGATCATCTGAAATACTGTTGGTAATTTTGTTTGAATATTTTTTGTCTGTCTGTCTGTGATTCATGTTATTACACTTTGTAATCAACATAAGTCATGAACTCACAAATAATTTTAAAAAATTTGCATAAAAAGCAAATGAGAGTCTATCGATTGTCAATAATAATTGTAGGGTTAAACAGACAAAAAGCAAACAAAATTTGCTAAACATACAAGATTGAGGAGGTTCATCTGAAGTCTACATAACAGTGATAGTGAATCAAAAATCAAATGAAAAAAATATTAAGGATTGAAATAGTTTACTACATTTAGCATTGAATTATTATATCACCCACAATCATTATCTATACTTTGTTTTTCTCTACCAAAACATTTTTTCAAGGTTCATGCTTCAAATTATGGAACTACCTAACAACCAAGTGTTATTTTCAATTCCCCATTAGTTCCACCTTTTAAATTTAAAAGCTATTTATATCACCATTTAATTTACTATTTTCTGTAGCCTTTTCCCTGATATATAAAATCAGTTCATATATTCAATACAGGATTTTACTTTGGTATTTACCACTCTGACTAGGAAGTTGAATCACTAACATTTACCACTCTGACTGAAATTAAATCACTAACACACTTGTGTGCGTGGAAAGTGCTAGTTGTTGATGGTAACAACGATAGGTTAAGTTGGCATTGGAAAAGCAGAAGTGAAGGCACAGTACAAGCTTTTACCTTTTAGACTTTACAAGCAAACAACATGCATTAGCTTATGCAACATTTTCTCGTTTATTGTTAACATACAAAATGTAGAATTTAATAATTTTCATTCAGGAACAAAAAACCTCAATTCATTTTGAACCAAGAAATGCATATAGTTATGCCAATTTGTGCTACTGGGAAATAAGAGCAGCACTACCACTAAAAAGTTAAAATGTTACTTTGCTGACATAGCCAAGATGGTAATACATGCCCATATATTTTATTTAAAGAATGTAAGTATAAGTTAGGCCTACAGAGGATCAAATTTTGCTAACCATAATATAGGCCAGTAACTGAACTCTTAGCTTAACTGGATACATTACTACCACTAACATCTGTTCTTAATTATTCAAAAACAACCATGTTTTGTACTTTTAAACTGTAAAATTAAGGCTACACAAACAACCTGCAAAGAATAGCTTTACAACATACAAACAGTGGTAATTATGGTGAAATTAAAGTTTCAAACTTTCCAAGAAATATTTTGAAAGTCAAGACAAAAAAAGTATAAATCCATTATTCGGTAATTGTCTAACAGTTTATTTCAAATTAAAAATAAACAAGACTTAATCTTATTACATACATTATGTCCCAAATTCTTCTAATGTAAGTGATCACCAAGTTGTAATTCAAAAATCTTCATGTGACCAATGCATAAATGGCACTCAAAAGATGAATGATACCCATACATCTACTTCAAAGACCAGGTTTAATTATTTGTATAGGTTAGTAAGAAGTAACATTATAAAATAAAGCTCACTAAAAGAAAATACTATTCAATATGTTGGCAATTTACATCCCTGATATAGCTTTCCATTAAGGGCACAATTCTATTACATTTCTGTGTAATAGACTCAACATACAGCTTCCAAAACTTTCTGTTGGCAATCAAACAGATTTTAACAAAATAAGTTATATTTCCTTCAGTGCTTTAACTTCAGATAACACCTACTGTGACAAACAAAATGACACTGATCTTTACATTTATACATCACTATCAAAGACTATTAATAACATTTTACAATTACTGACTTCACCTTTCAAACATGTTTTCCCAAGTTTACATTTTTAGTACTTCTTTTGCACATAAACCTACTCCAATTTTATATAATAATGCACATATGTATATCAGAGAGAGAAAACAGTCGAAAATTCAAGATAAATGCAATACTACATAATACAAATTTTATGTTTGTGCAAATTATTGTTACTGTAAAAGGAGTTATTGATTTAAGAAACATTATAAACAATATTAAAACGTACATATGAATGAGTTAACATGAACCTCAGGTTTTGTTCTCAAATTTTCCTCTTTATATAATAATGTAAAGTTATAAATGGGAAAGAAAGCCAAATAAAACTATTCATATTTGCTACTTTCATCTAATACACTAAAAATGAATTGCCCATATCTAAGATATATCCTGAACAGTATCTTAATAAGTGCCCTGCTGTTAAAACATTTTTCTCAGTTACCATATATGTAATTTGAAAAGGCAGTTCATTAATAACAGTTCATTTATCACTAATTTCACTGACTTTTTTAACAGTTTCCCTAACAAACCAGTGCACCTATTTAAATAAATAAACTTTAAAACATCCAACCTGTTTTCCAATTTTTTCCTTATTTAATAGTTTCTTAACATTCTAAGAATAATGTTGAGACTTAGCTTCTTTGTTGCATTTCATCTTATAGGTCAACCATAATGTTCAAATGTATTACCTTCAGATAATCCAAATTTATAGTAAGCTCGTGTAATAAAATATTGAAAATTATTACCAAAGTATCTAGGATCACAACTGAATATCTTCCTTGAATACTTCATTTTAAGATGAAACACTTGAATAAAAAAAAAAGGCATACAAACAAACAAATGAATCTGGCTTTATTTTAATAATCTTTGTACAGGATTCATCACCCTGGCTTTTAATTTCTTCTGGGTTTTGTTTGTTCTTTGTTTGTTATCTAATCTTTGAATCAACTTATAAATAAATTATACAATAAATACTACAATGACAATCTCTGAAAAGTTAAAA